TCACGTGATCGAAATTCAGGCACTTGGCAACTGACTCAGGTTTATGACGAGTGCTGTGTCCTGGGGTCATGTGATCACCTTTTGCTGACAGCAAAGTCAAATCAGGGAAGCCAGATTCACTTAACAACCGTGTTGCTAATTTAACAACTGCAGGGGTTCACTTAACAACCGTGGCAAGAAAGGTTGTAAAATGGGGCAAAATTCTCTTAACAACCATCTCGCTCAGCAACAGAAATTTTGAGGTCAATTACGGTCATTAAGTCGAGGATCATCGATATTGAGTAGAAAAAGTGGGAGAATATACAATATATTTATCAGTGTGATATGCATGCTCACAAGTGCACACATATTAGATTAGCTATGTGGCGAGCTCATCAATAACACAGAAAATTATATTCCACTGAGAATTCGTTTCTAGCAGGTGGGATTAACCACAAAAGCAATTTATGCATTACAATACCATTTCCTTATTTCCCCAAGGAGAAAGTTGTTTCGGTAGGATTAGATGCAAAATTATTGGCATGAGCTTCAAGTATAAGCGGAGGCACACACTTTCAGTAAAGATCCACTCAAACATTGGACTGTGCTTCTATGTTCCATGTTGGTATATGTGATGGGGATGTGGTATAAATCCCCATGAATTCCAATACTAAGATGGCAAGGAGTAAGGAATAGATTTAGGGGTGGGTTCACTTAGCTTTACCATCAGTTTGCCCCACGCATGCGCCCGGGCTCGAAAACCTGCCTAAGTAGCAGGGGCAGCTGGGCGGGGCCACCCACAATCGCTGCTACTGGTTCACCCGAATTGGTGCGAACCGGCTAAATACCACCTCTGAATAGACTATAATGTACCCTACGAAGAATGGATGCCTCAAATTTCTGTCCTAATATGAATCAAATCCCTCCTCAAAGCTCACAAAAAGGAGATATGGGACTTTCAAAACTCATAAAACCATAGATTGGAAAAGAGCTATTCAAAGTCCTGCCTAATTTAGCAAAGCTCCTCCTGAAAGATGTCTCTCTAGATGTCCATCTCCACTTGAACGTAGCCAATGAAGAACTCAACCGCCAAACTGGATAATTTGTTTTTCCGGTTGAACTGTTCTCTAGGATTCAATGGACATTTTTTTTCGCGTAACCCACTGTTCTGTATCCTGCCTCTTAAGACGATAGCTAATTTGTGATATTCTTCTACATGTCTTCGATGTTGTGGGTCTCCCAAATGTGGCAACTTTAAGACTTGTGGACTTCAACTCCCAGAATTCCCCAGCCGGCATGGGAAATTCTGAGAGTTGCAGTCCATAGGACTTAAAATTGCCAAGTTGGGAGACCCTGTTATAGACAATCGAGAGCATAGTCGACTCTATGTCGGAATGGGCAATTAATTTTCCCATGGGGCCACGTGGGGACTGTTGTGGAGGGTCAAACCGATAGGCAGAACTGAATTCTAATCAATGTTAATTTTATTGCTTAAAACAACAGTGATTTTGTGTGTGTGTGTGTGTGTGTGTGTGTGTGTGTGTGTGTGATGTCCTTTTAGGTATTTGAAGGGAGGGGTAGGGATCAGACCAGGAAATCAACTCTCTAGCAGGGGTCCCCAACCTCCAGGCTGCACAAGCGGCAGGAAAGTGGCAAAGCTCCATTCGTGTGAGTGACAGTCTTTTGCGGTTGCACAGGAAGCTCCATTTGCGTGCGCACCTGCCACTTGTGTAAATGGAGCTGCATACCTGAGCATCAGGGACCCATCCCCCTCTGTCCCCCGCCACCTCCGTCAGTCTGCAAAGCTGGAAAGGTTGGAGACCCCTACTCTATAGGATTGGCTATATCAACAGAATCTTGCTGTAATCTCAGAACCTAAGCAAAGTCTGATTATGCTATAACTCCTCCTTATAGCAATAGCCCTTAGACTTATATACCGCTTCGCAGTGCTTTACAGCCCTCTCTAAGCAGTTTACAGAGTCAGCCTATCGCCCCCCAACAATCTGGGTCCTCATTTTACCCACCTCGGAAGGAGGGAAGGCTGAGTCAACCTTGAGCCGCTCGGAATTGAACTCCTGGAGTGAGTAGTGTGTTAGCCCTGCAGTACTGCATTCCAACCACTGCACCACCATGGCTCTTATACTCTTAGACATTTAGTACAAGGAATCAACCTGAATCCCTTCCGAACGCTATCTGCTCCCTCTGGACTTAAAAACAATTCAGTCCCTTTCCCTTAGAAAGCCATTCTTCCATAATTCCAGAAACTAAACTTTTATCATCCTTACTCCCTGCAGTGCCATAACTGTCAGCGGTGGGTTTCACATTTTGGCCTTCTGCCAGAGGTGGGTTTCAGCAGGTTCTGACCAATTCTGGAGAACTGGTAGCGGAAATTTTGAGTAGTTTGGAGAACTGGTAAATACCACCTCTGACTAACCGCCATCTATTCTCTGCTTCCCGAGTCCCAGCTTGCTCACATGTCTTCCGTGCATGCACCCAGCCTCAAAAACATGCCTACATAGGACGTCTCCGCTACCGGTTTGCACGAACTGGCTGAATACCACCTCTGCATACTCTCCATCAAAGTTCCCTTCTTCGAGCTAAATATTTAATCTCTCTTCATAGTACATTATTCACGGTGGGGTCCGAACAATAGCACAGGTTCAGAATAAAGGGAAATTATTATACTCAGCGCTCACAGAGGAATAGGAGACATAGCAATAGGAAGCGGGTTAGACTCTGTGATCAATAGATGTGTCGTCATGTCAAACAACAAATCATTATCACTGTGATCATCACCATCGCCAAAGTTGGATGGGTCCAGAGCCCAGCATCTTGGACGGGTTAGGAGATCGTTGGAATGATTGATTGCAGCGCAGAACACCAAATCAATCATCTACAGAAAGTGTGATTTAGGGACACTCAGACCAATTAAGAGTGCAAAGAATTATTGTGAAGTTGGGGGATGCTGCCCAACACACGATAAGTCAATATGTCTGACCGAAGACAAATGGAATATATTATACCATTGACGGCTCTGTGAATTAATGCTGCGCAGAAAGATATGCAGGATGTTTCCAGTTTCTCTCTGCAGCTGAAAATCAATCGACAAATGGACGGAGGGTTGGCATGCAAAGCTGATGGCACAGTACCAATATCAGTTAGACTTGTATATCGTCGCATAGTGTTTTACAGCATGCTCTGGGCAGTCAAAATGTAAGCATTATCTGGAATTCAGGGGTGGGTTTCACTTACCTTTACCACCAGTTCACTACGCGCATGCTCGCTTTGCGTGTGTGCTGTCTGCACATGCACTCGGCCCTCCATGCATGTGCTTTGTTCACTTGTGTGCCTTCCACGCATGCGCCTGGCCTCAAAAATGTGCCTAAATAGCATGACTTGGAGCCACCGCCCATGATCGCCGCTACCAGTTCACCCGAACTGTTGCGAACCGGCTGAATACCATCTCTTATTTGAATATTGTCCCCTCCACCAAATCTGGCTCCTCATTTTATCAATCTTGGAAGGATGGATGGAAGGCTGAGTCCATAGCAATAGCAGTTAAGACTTACATACTGCCCCATAGTGCTTTACAGTACTCTCCGAGCAATTTACAATGTCAGCATGTTGCCCCCAACAATCTGGGTCCTCGTTTTACCCACCTCAGTCGGTCAGGATCGAACTCCTGGCAGGGAGCAGGGAGTTAAGGCTGCAATACTGCATTCTAACCCGTGCGCCACCATGGCTCTCTCTCTCACAACCTTGAGAGCCAGTCAGGATCGAACTCTAGACTGTGGGCAGTTTGCCTGCAATTCTGCACTTTTAACCACTACGCCACCAGGAGTCAACTAAGCTCACCCGTTCTTGTGGTCTGCCAGCAGCCTGCGGAGCTGGCAGTGGAGTCAGACAATGAGGAGGCTGAGGAAGAACATGGGCCAGTCCTGGAGGCTGGGGAAGGCCCGGATGAGGGCTCTGCATCAGAGGCAGAGATGGGGCCAGGGCAGTGGTGAAATGTAAAATTTGTTACTTCCGGTTCTGTGGGCGTGGCTTGGTGGTGGTGGGGGTAATATGACTGAGTGGGCATGGCCAACTTTTTTTTTTTAACTTTTAAAGCCATTTTTTTCTACAACCTCTTTGGCTGAAGAGGTTGTAAAAAATTGCTTTTAAAGCCTCTGACGATCCCAGCTGACTTGCCTGATTGGCAGAAGCTTTTTTTTTTTTTTTAAAGTCTCTGATGATCCCAGCTGAGCTGTGCGATCATCAGAGGCTTTTTTTTTTACTTTTAAAAGCATTTTTTCGGCCAAAGAGGTTGTAGAAAAAATGCTTTTAAAAATTAAAAAAAAGCCTCTGATGATTGTGCGGCTCAGCTGGGCAATTGTGGGGGTGGGGGCAGGGATTTTTGCTACTGGTTCTCTGAACCACCCGCCTCCATCGCTACCAGATTGGGCGATCTGGTCCGAACCGGGAGCATTTCATCCCTGGGCCAGGGCCATCTGGGAGTGATGTGTGGACTCCGGAGCCTCCAGAGGCTGACAGCAGAGAGGCAGAGGAACAGGAGGAGCCTGTTCCTAGTGCACGCATGAGAAGAGCTGCCAGAAGGCAAGAGCAGCTAAAGCAAAAAGGACGACTCGGGAGTAAGGCCAAGAGATGATTGGCCCCTCCCATAAGGCTTAAAAGACCAGCAACAGCTCTTGGGCTCTTTGTCAGGAAACAACGTTGATAGATTTGCTTTCTTGTCTTGCTTCATTTATTTCTTGTCGGCGTCTTCTGCTTCTGAACATTTGCCAAGAAAAGCCTTTGGCAGTTTGTCACAGTAGACCAAGGTTGGTGATAAGGTTGAAGAATTGTGTTATGAAGAATTTGTTTTGAATTAAGTTTGGACTACGCTGAGAATGAGTTAATTCTCAGCTGTTCTAATAAAGTCTGTTTGTTTAGAACTGATTGCGTCTGATAATACTTACTTGAGCCTGGGTCACAACACCCCTCACCCAGAAAATTCCCAAGTACAAGGCGCGAATACTCACCCCCAGATGGCACACTGATACAGGTTCCTCCGTTCTGACAAGGGTTACGCTCACAGGGGTCAGGATACAGCACACAGCCAAGCTTCAGTTCGGTTAGTCCCACCACCTCTGCAAAGCTGCTGCGTTTGTTCTGGAGAGGCAACTCGTTGTTGTTGAGGATGATGGAATCCAAACAGCCTTGGAAGCCGCTCAAGACCTGGGTGGACCTCTTGTCTGTTAAGCTTCGGACGTTATCCACCTGGACCTGGGCTCCGAAATAAACGGAGCTATCAGTGCTCAGGGTCTGGAAATAAAGGGGAGCTTTGCGCCTCTCCACGTAGCTATCGTCGAGCGAGAGGCTGGTGAAGTTTCGGTTCAACTCGAGGAAGACGGAATGCCAGCTGCCATCATTCACAGTCCTGCCTGAAATTCCCAGGATGCCCGGGCCAGCGCCACAGTCCAACTGGAACCACAGTTTACCGTCCACAACCTGCAAATGGTAAGTGAAATGTCAGGAAAACAGAGCTTGTAACAGCGGAGAGCTCACTGCCCCAGCATTGGTTTTCCGAGCCAGCTTATTTAAATTCTTATTTTACCAAGCTGAAGTCACAAAGAGCGTATTGCAAAACAACTGACAATGTAAGATTTGCTCCCTGGTTTACTTCTGAGCCAAAGGAGTGTTTTGTTTTTTAAAGCATTAAATGAAGTGCTGCCTTTCGCATGGTTTTTTGTGCTTCTCAGATCATGGATACATGGGCTGCTCCATGTCCTAGAGGTCGGCAACCTTAAACACACAAAGAGCCACAAAAGTCCTAACCGGAATCCCCCCATTCAATTCTGGAGCCGACCGGAAGTCCAGTTCCCCTACCATACAGCCTCCTCCTAGTGTGGCATCCGTTTTCCTCTACCTGTCCTAACCGAAAGCACTATCAATTGTGGAGCCGACCGGAAAACCTGCCCCTTGTCATAGAGTCTCCTCCTGGTATGCTGTGCTTCCCACCCAACTGGAAGCTCCTCCCAAAATTGTGGTGGTGACAGGGAGCCGCAGCAGAGGGATGAAAGAGCCACATGCAGCTCCAGAGCTGCGGGTTGCTGACCCCTGTCCTAGTCCTATGAGAAACACAGGAGCAAATCTTCTACATGGCAATACTCCGTGGTTTATGATATTAGTAAGATGTGCTTCCAAACATAGTTCTTTCCTTACTTGTGCAAGGAAACATGCCTTTGATTTGGAGGAGAGAGGATGCCAAGTATTTTCTTCTCTACCTTAGGAGGGAGACAGTCTACAAAACAAAATTCAGGAATCCCCCAAGTCCTTGATGGCCTAGTAGAGAACCTTATATTAAGATGCAGTTCCTTGATGATAATGGGACTGCCTCTGAAAGCCATATCTGGGAGACTAATGGGACAGCTTGTGCAATTGGCTGGCCATGTGAGAGGGACTAGATGGACTGCTGGACTAGATGGGCCAGGCTTCTGATCCAGCAAGACACTGCTTATGTTCTTAAAACAGCCCAAAGGCAAAAAGGATTTTGATTTCCAAGAAATGATAAACCAGACGTCTTCAAAAAAGCAGAGACCGCAAGGACTGACAGCCTATTGTAACAGAACCTCTCCAGATAAAGGAGGAGAGATTGACCACTTGTGCTTGAGAAAGCAGCTCCTTGCGAGGAGATTGCAGGACAACAGTTTTCCACAGGTCTGAGCTCCAGGAAATGATGGAAGTCATAAAGGCCATCAAGCTTTCAACTGTGATAGAGCCTCTTATGGACACTAAGCCTCACTTTCTAAACTTCTTTGAATTACTTCAAACTTAAAAGAGAGCTTCAATGCAACGAGGTTGAAAAACCACCTGGTGAGTTAACCTTTGTTCAAGTACAAACGTGAAATTAACTGATAGCCTAAAGAATTTAAAGAAATTGAAGTAAATGGCAAAATGCTTAACAAGTTAGTCTGAATGGTCCTTCGCATAAATCAAGCACAGGTTTTCCAGAATATCAGCTTGTTTAATAGACTCCTGGGGAGAGGGGAACTAAGATTGTCTGTTAAATATGAAAGGCCATTGAGAAAATGTATATCATTTGAAGATGTTATGCAAATGATACCAATTACATGATTTGCCTGATCACTGTGCAAATGATGTAAATGGACATGAGGTTTGCTTTGTATCACCAAGCGCAACACAATTTTTATGGAATTAAATCATCTTGTACACTGCCTGGGAATTTAGTTCATCGTATATGAAGACCCATGCATTAGGATCAGATAAATTTGAGATTTCACTGAATATTTTTGAAGCAGTTTTTAAAATAAAATAAAATATAGGAACACAAATAGTTTGCCCCGTGATTTCGTTAAAAGAGGTAGCATTTCTCTTCCCGATGTCCAAGAGACAAAAAATAGCTTTGAAGAAGAAACAGAGGGAACAATAAATTGTGGAATACAATGGGAGCATCCGAGATGAGGATTTTAGCATCAATATCACCTCCCAGGTATGGTTTAGACCAAGGTGAAATGCTCCCGGTTTGGCCCGGATCACCTGATCCAGTAGCGAGGGCGGCGGGTGATTCGGAGAACCAGTAGAAAAAAATCCCTGCACCCCCCCCATGCCCAGCTGAGCCACGCGATCATCAGAGGCTTTTTTTTTTTACTTTTAAAAGCATTTTTTTCTACAATCTCTTCGGCCGAAGAGGTTGTAAAAATAATGCTTTTAAAAGTAAAAGTAAAAAAAAAAAAGTTGGCCACGCCCACCGTCACATTACCACCCCCCCACCAAGCCACGCCCACAGAACCGGTCGTAACAAATTTTACATTTCACCCCTGCTTTAGACAGAAAATGCACAGAAAGTCGATTATGTGCTGAAAGTTTCCTTGAAATGAGCTTGATTCTCGATTACTCCATAGCCATATTGTTTTCTTGGCGAGTACTACAACTTTGCATTGCTTTCTTCTGAAATGTTTTTTCAGCTTCACAGTCTAAATCAGGGGTGTCAAACTTGCGATGACATATTGTCATCATGTGACGTATCACAACTCCCCTCCGTTTGCTAAACCGGGGATGGACATGACTAGCACGTGACGCATCCGGCCCGCGGGCCACGAGTTTCACACACCTGGTCTAATACATAGCCAGAGGATTTCCTTGTGGCCTCCCAACCAATTACAAACCAGGTATAATCTTTCCAAATCAGTCAATGTTGACTTAAGTGCATTATACATCACTGTAGACTTTGTATTAATTTGATTTATATGCCGCCTTTCTCCGGAGACTCAGGGCGGCTTACAATGCATTAAGCAATAGCCTTCATACTTTTGTATATTTATACAAAGTCAGTTTATTGCCCCCACAAACTGGGTCCTCATTTAACCTATGTTAGAAAGGATGGAAGGCTGAGTCAACCTTGAGCCTGGTAAGATTCAAACCTGCAGAAATTGCAGGCAGCTGTGTTAATAACAGGGTGCATTAAACCATTGTACTACCAAGGCTCCTGTAAGGATATACTTACAAACAGAAGTTATCTGACACAGACATTTCTCCAATAATCCTTCCTACAAAATAGGATACGTATTTCTGGTTTTTATGCTTAGAAACAGAGGGAAGGAGGGAGGGAGAGAGAGAGAGAGGGAGAGGGAGAGAGAGGAACAAAACGAAACAAAATTCCATTCTGATTCCTCTTTCCATTTTCTTTTCTAGAATTTCACTGATAATCCTGCAAAAAATTTTACTACTGCAAAGTAAAAACGGTTACCGAATACAGCATTTTGTCATTTTGCTAGATAATACACAGTGAATCTAGAGTTTCTTTGCAACGATGGAATATAACACCAGGTGGAGTCTGTCCTAAAATCAGCACATCAAGTTGATTATGAATGATTGCTGAAAAAAACGGGTTATTTCCCCAAATTAGATTTTTTTTTTCTCCCTTAATTTCCACACTGACCCAATATTCCTTAATTCATTCTTAACTCTCGAGTGACGATGTCTACACATCATGCATTTTAAAATAGGGATTCTTGTTGCGAAGCTGATATTTTGCAAAGCCGGTGTTTGATTTATGAGAAGGCATTTTTCTGCGGCTTGAATTTGAATCTGAGCTGGAGAAGACTTCTTTCTACGCTTGGCAATGCTGGCTTCTTTGGAGGCAGATACAAAAAGCCAGAAAGTGAAGTGGATGGAAGTGGGCCACCTGTTCCAGTCCATTCTCAGCCATACAGGTTGATGGACTATTAAACGCACCACAAGGAGCTCCTCAAGGAGACAGAAACAGAGAGACAGATTAAGAGTTGGAAGGGACCTTGTAGGTCATCTAGTCCAACCCCCCGCCGAAGCAGGAGACCCTACACCATTTCTGACAAAGGAAAGGAGATACAGAAATGACAAGACAACGAACAAATAATCTGGACATTTATCTGACTTGAAATGTACTGACTGTCTTCAAATGCTCCTGTTCTGGCTACAGATAGTCCTCGACTTACAATGGTTCACTCAGTGACATTCAAAGTTACAACGGCACTGAAAAAAGTGACTTATGACCATTTTTCACACTTATGACCGTCGTGGCATCCCCACGGATTTGAATTTAGATTCAAATGCTTGAGAATTGACTCACATTTATGACGGTTGCGGTCTCCCCCGGTCATGGGATCAACTTTCGCGGCCTTCTGACAAGCAAAGTCAATGGGGAAAGCCAGATTCGCTTAAAAACCGTGTAGCTCATTTAACAACGGCAGTGATCCACTTAAGAAACATGGCAAGAAAAGTCGTAAGGCAAAATTCACTTAACAAATTTCTCACTTAGCAACATAAATTTGGGGCTCAATTGTGGTCTGCCTGTATTACGGCAGAAAATCCTGAGCAGGCTGAGATTATAAGAAGAAATCTATCTACTTCCTTCCTTCCTCCCTCCCTCCCTCCCTCCCTCCTCCCTCCCTTCCTCCTTCCTTCCTCCCTCCTTCCTTCCTTCCTTCCTCCCTCCTCCCTCCCTCCCTTCCTTCCTTCCTTCCTTGTCACTGTCTGTTAAAGGGCTGGTGTATAAGATTTATCTTTTTAGATGTTCTAAAGCAGAGGTCTTCAAACTTGGCATAACCATAGCAATGCTGGCTGGAGAATTCTGGGAGTTGAAGTCCACAAGTCTTAAAGCTGCCAAGTTTGAAGACCTCTGTTCTAAAGGAAGAGAGCAAGCAGGGTCCCTGGAGGGATGTGCATCAAAAATGCCGAGATGTCAGTCATGACTGGGTGACTGAAGTTCTGTCACCTCTTTTATCTGCATCCCATTTGCATTTACCTGCATATAAAAAAGGGTAAAGGCTTAGACCAGTGTTTCTCAACCTTGGAAGCTTGAAGATGGGTGGACTTCAACTCCCAGTATCCCCCAGCCAGCAGCGCTGGCTGGGGGATGCTGGGAGTTGAAGTCCACCCATCTTCAAGCTTCCAAGGTTGAGAAACACTGGCTTAGACTCTGTGGTTGAACAGGCCATCTTGACTTTTTG